TGCTGCTAGGCAATCCTCAGTCCAAGAGAGATACTTCCTGTATACTCACGCCTATATCCTTTCTGTGCCCTGCCATCTTACTTCCTCTCTCTGCCCAGCTACATCAGTTCCTCTTTCTGCCCAGCTCTATCACTTCCTGTCTGTCTGTACAGACCTCCAGACCTCTGTAATTAACTAGTGCTAGGATTAAAGGCATGTGCCACCACACCTGGCTCTGTTCCCCGTATGGTTTTGAACTCACAGAGATCTGGATGAATCTCTGCCTCCTGAATGCTAGGATTACAGGCATGTGCTACCACTGCCTGACCTCTATGTTTAATATAGTGCCTGGCTTTTTCCTCTGATCCCCAGGCAAGCTTTGTTTTTTAGAGCCCAAATAAAATATCACCACACTACCTGGGGCTAAATTAGATGGTTTTGGGTTAATGGCATTGTCAGAGAATATTTTAAGACCATTCAATATTGACTGTGCCATGTTGTTACTAGTGATCAATGTTATGTAGGTCTACAATGAAAAAGAGGAAGAAAAAATGCAATATACAGTGTGAGGAAAAAAGGAGCACCAGGAAATGTTTTATTGGTACCAAGTCCACTGCTCAAAGAGATTAAAAAATTTAAAGAAATGCCTTATGCTAAGTGGAATAAAAGGAGTGGTAATCTTAGGGCAAAACAGCACTCATTAAAGTTAAGCTTAAGCAACAAAGGGAATGATCAATTTAAAAAAAGCTGATATAAATATAATGAGGGGGTCAAGTTTCAGCCCAATCAGTCAGCAGAACTTGGTATCTTTGGCCTTATGGTTCTGTCTTTTGAGTCAAGAATAAAAGAAAGAGGTTGTGGAATTTCCCTCCTCTGCTAAAGAAATCTACTAGGGCCAGACAGGTGAAAGGGGAGTCCCTACACGGAGGCCCAGAGAGGCCACTGGAAGAAAATATGAAGGAGAAGCCTGGATTGAGCTGGAGAACTCAAGATGAAGGAGATACTAGAATAGTGGGATACCTGCCAAGGAAAGCTATTAACAATGAGTGAAAAGCCCAAGAGATAGAAGTGTGCTGCCAGCAAAAAACTGAAAGGAGTTGAAGATCTGAAGAGCTATTTGATATCAGACATGGAATTGCAGACTTTTGAGTTGCTCTGCTGGGTTTCATTTTTGATTTGGTCCAGTATTTCATCACTACACTCCCTTTACTCCCTTTTTGAATGGCAATGTATATTCTGTGCCATTGTATGTTGGATCTGTTTTTTTTTTTTTTTTTTATTTTACAGGAGTTTAAATTTAAGAGATTGCCATAAGTCTTAGAAGAAACTTTCAACTTTGGATTTTTAAACAGTGTTAGAACTGTGATATACTATAGGGACTTTTGAAGTGGCACTTAATGCATTTTTGCATTTTAATATGTCTACTAGCCTATGGGGGTCCAAGAAATGAAATGTGGAGGTTTGGATAAGAATGGCCCGCATAGGTTAATATTTGAATGCTTAGTCACCAGAGAGTGACACCATTTGGAATGATTAGAATGATTTGGAGGTGTGGACTTGTTGGAAGAAGTATGCCACTGGGGGTGCTTTGAGGTTTTAAAGGCCCCGGTCAAGGATATCATCTCTCTCTGCCTATGGATCTAGTTCTCAACATGGCTGCCTGAGTGCTGTCATGCTCCTCACATTGATGATAATGGACTAAACCTCTGAAACTGTAATCAAGCCCCTAGTTAAATGCTTTCTTTTGTAAAAGTTGCCTTTGTTTTGGTGTCTCTTCACAGGAATCAGTGACTAAGAGGCTTGATAATGAACCTAGGAATAATTGTGGCCAGCCATTAGAAGTTGGACTAAAAAGATAGTCCAGACAAAATTAAAGTAAATGTAAAAGTTTACAATAGAAAATCCCTTCTGCATGGTAGAACAGACATTATACTGGTCAGCTTAGCTAACCAGGGGGAGAGCAACACAGTGAAAAAAGAGGAAAAGCAAACACGGGCTTTGTTGAGATCCAACCACACTAATTTTGATGAACTCCAGATGAATTATAAAATACTTCCTCTACTTAAAGAGCTGAATTTCTTTAGAGAGATGATTGGAGAAGGCAAAAAGTGAAAGACATTTCAGAAATTAGAATATTATATAGGTAAGAAGGCTATTAGATTAGATCTCTTACAGACATATTTAAATAGGGTTTACTGATAGACTAAAGACTCAAATTGAACGTGAAAGCAGTCAAAGACTCAAAATAATTTTAAGATTTTTTAGCTAAAAACCCAAAATGGAAGTAAGTATTTTTCAGTAATAAAGGGGAAAGATATAGAAAGTAATTTGTTGAAATACTTTTCTATTGGAAATTCAAACATTAAAAACCAGTAGGTAGCTTCATTTTTTTTATATTAGAAGTGGAGCGAAAGTGAGATTGAAGTTTCATACTCACAAGAACCCAAATGATACTTTATAAGTCATGATGTTAAGGGCAGAGTGTGGATGAAAAAGCAAGAACTGTCCCATTTAGAGAGTGATTAGAAAAGATAGAAAGCAACAGAGAGGCAAAGAATGACATCAAAAGGAAAATTCAAATGTCAGTGAGGCAAGCAGAGGATGGAAAATGGACAAGGGCAGCATGAAAATATCAAGAAAAACAAGCCAAAGTACACCCTTCATTTGATAAAATGTAAGTTATTTTAACAAAATAATTTTATAGTGGTGGAAAAATGGGACAAGATTATGAGCACTAAAGGTTAATAGGTTAAGAAGTAGAATATTTTCTTAAAGAATAGCAGGAAATTAGACAATTAAAATCTGAAGAGATATTGAAAGCATGACCATTGTTAGAATGTTTAAATAAAAGGACAAGTATAACAATGTCAAAGAGAACAGATAAAGTAAAAGCAAATAGGAGATGAGATCTAATGCATATGAGGAAAAGAAGAGTTCTCTTTGAATAATAAAGGATCACATGCTTATGATAAGCAGATCTTTATTAAAGAAGTCTGAGTGATATTAGAGAATAAGGAGCCTAAAACAGCAGAAGGTATAAAATAGTCACTATGTGAATGGGATAATAGCTTGATAAAGCAATGGACTATCAAGGTTGTTCTTAGTGTTGATCTGTATGTTAAAATCATGGATATAATCAGTTTAAATTGTAGTCATGGGAAGGTGCACCATTGTGAGATTTGAGTGATGATAGTAGTAAAAACAAAGCTCATTTAGTTCAAAATATTTGAACTATGTAATTGTAGTAAATAATTTTGAAGTACAATTTTGTAACATGATATTAGGAATGGACTGATAGAAAATTAGCTGATAATTTGGGGACTTAAAGTGTTACAGTTGGACTGTCTGATAGTAAAGGAAAAATTATGAATCATACATGACATTAACATAAACTCTTGAAGCTCACAGATCTATAGTCTTGGGTTAGAGTGAAATCAGTTCTGTGGGTAGCATTGGATCTTCACAACTTTCTTTTTTTGATTGTATTTCTCAAGAATAATTATAAGATAGGCTGGGAATGTGGCATCTTAAGAAAAATGGGTAGTGTTTCAGGTTCTTCTCATCCACCCCCCTCAAAGGATGTCCTTCAACACTTTGGCCCAATGTATCACATGATCCCAAAGTTTTCAACTCAGAGTAGGTTGCTTTTTGGAGTCCCTCTCTGTAGTATAGTTGGATATACACTGAAGCTCCATATGAGCCAATCAACATTTCATGTTTGGGTGAAGTAGTATACACTGAACCTTAGACATCTATTTTCTGGTACTATTTATTAATTAATAAGTCACCTTTCTAGAATATGTTATATGTCATGGTGTTCTTTCTCAATTAATTGAGTTAAAATGGCAAGTGCTGACACTGAACCTATTTTTCAGAGAGCGTCAGAAACACAAATGTAAGGAAAGATGGTCACAGGCTGTAAAGTTGCAGAGGGGTAATCCTTTTAAACCAGAGATCCATATACAAAATCAGTAGCACAGAATATAATGTGTGTTAATTTGTGTTTATAATCTTAGTTTATTTGGACTTTATAATGCTAAATTTCAATATCAAACATAAAGACTTACCTTAGGGTTCAATTAAGTTTAATATCTTTTTAACATAAACATTGTTGAGTTAAATTTGGAAATACATGAACATTCATCCCTAATACACTATCTTCCAAAATCTCTGGCTTGCTCTGTAAGCTTTCTTTTCTCTTCTCTTTAAACAAGTATGAAGGCAGAAAGTTTATCAAGAACCTGAAAATTCTAGAATAAAACTCTGTATTCTACCAACATGGCCTATTTAACTAGAAATTCATGAGATAGGTATTATACTATTATTGTATTGCATAAGGAAAAAAATGGAGCCTAGAGATACTGGGCAACTTGCCCAAATTTGTCCAGTTAATATATGCAATATTTAGGATGAAAATTAAGATTTTCTGATTCTAAGCCCTTATAACTAGGGTGTTATGTTGCCAAGGGACCTTCATTTCCACATGTGTCAGGGGAGGACAAGGGACTTTACTGACATAGAATCTCTAGCACTGACCTGTTATCCTTTCCAGAGAATTTACAGGCAATATTATTCCCATTTTAAACACCTTCGAAAGCACAATTTGTAAACTTGCCATATGTTTTCAGGAGAAACCTTATACTTATTTCCCCAAAAAGAAATGTTCCAAGAATATTTTTTTGGTAAGCTGGTGTTTATGATGAAGTATGTTTTTAATATGTCGCATTAAATCCTGGAAAAATCATGAATGAAAAGCAAGCAAATATATTTGAAAGTGGACTAAATATAATTGCCTTATGTTCTAAGTTTTCCAAATGACCAAGAAGAAAACTACAATAATTGTTAAAACTCACGAGAGTCTAAAGATATTTTTCAAGTATTTTAATTGCTCATGTTAGTAATTATTACCACACTTAAGATTGAAAACAAATTCACAAAAATAAAAAAAAATCAGAAAAAATTTATATAATTTGTCAGGTTTCATTACTTCAAGAATATAAAGAAAGAAGGTCTTACTTTACCTGCTATCTCAAACAGCAATGCATTCCAAAACAGTGTGGAAGGCACGGCAGTAAACATGTGAAGCAAGTGGCCACGTTGTATCCTCAGTTAGGAAACAGGACAGTAAATGGCACTCAGCTGGCTTCCATCTTCTTCTCTTTTCATTCAGTTGAGACAGCAGGATATATTGTAGTCCCGCCTACACTCAGAGTGGTCTTTTCCAACTCAGCTAAAGAACTTGAAAATTTTCTTTAATAAACGCACTCAGAAATTTGTTTCATAGGCAATTCCTGATTCAGTCAACTTGCCAAGGAAATTCATTTCTTGTTAGTTTGACCGTTGTCATAACCTTACATTTATATTTCTCAAAGGTCTACAGTCATCTCAAGGCAAAATCTATTTAGTTTATGTCTTAGTTTCTTTTCTCGTTGCTGTAATAAATAACTGGAACAGAAGCACCTTAAGGAAGAAAGGGACTGTTGTGGGTCACAGTTCCAGGGTACAGTCCATCTTGGTGAGAAAGCCATGGTGAACAGAGCTTGACACACTCACACTCAGGAACAAAGACAACAAATGCATGCTAGTGCTCAGCACACTTTCTCAAGATTATGTAATCCAAGATCTTCTGTTCTGGGAATGGTCCTATGCACAATTAAGACCAGTCTTCCTACTTCAATTAATATAATCAAAATGATTTCCCAAAGGTATTCCCACAGGGCCATCTCCCAGGTGACTCTAGATTTGACAATTATTTTGTATCTATGGACGGTGAAGAACGTGTTTATTGGTTCAATTGTCATTAGTATATAACATTTCAACTTAACACATTGTACACCATAAGTCTACCTAATTTTATTTTCTAATCAATATTTTAAAATTTCCTCCTTTTGCTGTTTTTCAACGTATTTGCTTAATGTGTGTGTGTGTGTTTCTTTACATGATATAGCATGCACGTGAAGATTAGAGGATTACTTACAAGATTCAGTTCCAGGGATCAAACACGTCATTAGGATTGACCCAGTGCCTTTAGCCTCTGAGCAACCCTCTTGGCCCCTAAACATGTTCATTTTCAAGAAAAGACTCCCACATTTCATCAGTCCAGGCTGATCAGTAAAATATCCCTCCCTCAGTAGTGGGTAACTCCGTTGATTGCAATAAATCAGATCAGGCCAAATTAATAAATCCAGGTTTTAAACTGAGGAAAGTATTCCCAGGTGGGACCAGGGGAAGAAGAGAAACCACATGGAGGGACCTTAAATACCCTGCAGGCGGTCTGGAGAGGAGCTGCTGCCTGGCAGGCTTTCTCTGGGCAGGGTCTGGAGAGGGCAGCTCCAGGGGAGGAGCCGCCACTTGGCGCGCTGAGGGCCCGGTTTGGAATGGGGCCCAAGCTGGAGATCCCCAGCACCGGCCATGAAATTGCAAGCCTGTGGCAAGGATGGAAAAGTACGTTAACTCTCCCATTCATTTTATCAAGTGGCTAGACCCCACCTCCATGTGGTATAAGCCATAAAACCCATCTTCAGTGGTGAGAGCATTAATGTGGAAGTGGGGTTAGGGGAGAACAGGTCCCAGGAGATCATTGGTATCTCCTGAGGTTCGTATTGAGGTTGTCTCCTTTCCCTGTTGCTAACTTGACAGCTTCTGTAGCGCTCTTGTGACATAAAGAGCACCACATTTTTATCAGTTTTATTTACTGAAACTACGTTTTACAGACAATATGTTCTGACCATGGTTTCCTTCCAGAATCTCTCCACCTCTGTCTTAACTCCATTCCTTTCTATTAGAAAACAAACAGGCAAATTAAAATAAAAGGATCAAACCAGAATAAAACAAACAGAAAAAAGAAAAGAATATATACATACCCAGAGACACACACATACACTCACTTAAAACCCATAATCAGAAAACATAGTATGTAAGCAAAGGTAAAAATCTAGTAAGGTAAAAACTGCCTAAACAACATTACATGACAAAATGTCTCCCAAAGTACCACTGAATTCATTTCATGCTGGACGTGGGGCCTGCCCTTCACTGTGGTTTGTATAACCAGTAAGACTCTATTGAAGAAAACTGACTTCCTTTTTGAGAAGTTGCCAAGTGGAGGTGGATTCTGGGACTGGAGTGGGGCTCCCGTCTAGTTCCACTCTCGGTTCTGAAAGCCCATCCTGTGGTAACTGTGAGGCACAGGTTTCTTGGCGTCTTGCATCCCCACTGACCTTTGCAATCTTTCTGCCTCCCGTTTCTCTTTGTTCTTTGAGTCCTGAAGTGAAGGATTTGATGACGACACCCCATTTAAGACTGAATTTTCCAAGATTTCTCACCCTCTGCACCTGGTCCAGTTGAGTCTCTGTATTAGCTCCCATCCACTGCAGGAGGACGCCTCTCTGATGACAGCTGCGTGAAATCTTTTCTACGGTGTCTTAATTACCAAGACAATTCTTATAGAAGAAACAATTTAATTGTGGACTTGTTTCCAGTTTTAGAGGATTAGTCTGTGATTGTCATGGCAGGAAGCACACAGACATGGTGCTGCAGTAGTAGCTGAGAGCTTTACATCCTTATCCACAATGGGCAGGCAGAAAGAGAGAGAAAGAATAAGGCTGCTTCATGACTTACAGTAATTTCAAAATATGAAACAAAAACTCTGACAAAAATACATGGAGTAGAGTGAAGTCACACAGAAGAGGGAGATGGTCCCTAGACATCTTTCTTGGCCCATCACTGGTAGAGCTTACCTCTAAACTGACTGTTGAGAGTTTATTAGAGATTTTAATTAGAGAAAGGAAGAAAATTATGGCATGTAAAGCTATGAAAATACAAACCCTATTCTCAGTGACATGCCTCCTCTAACAAGGCCACACCTCGAAATCCTTCCCTAAGTAGTTCCACTTCCTGGTAACTAACTATTCAAAGGCATGGACATATGGGGTAGATGCACACTCAAATCACATTCTACTCCCTGTCCCTATAGGCTTGTAGGCATATTATAATGCAAAACACATTGAGTACAACTTCAAAATTTTCAATAATCTTCCCCAGTGTCAACACTGTTTAAAAGTCCGAAATCTCTTACAAGACTCGAGGCAATCTCTTAACTATAATCCCCTGTATTATAGTTAAATTCAAATCAAAAAGCAGATCCCATGCTTCCAACATGTAATGGCAATGGATATATACTACAATTCCAAAAGGGAGTAAAGAAGGGATAGTGAGTACAGGAGAGGGAACAGAGAAATCACTGAACTGGACTGTTCAACAGGTGGACGTAAAGGCCTAGGAAATACTTCAGAACCTTTCTTTTCACAGGATGCAGAATTATCTGAGTGTTGTCTGGTCCTGAATTTACCACTTTCTTTATTACATTTTACATTAGGCTTTTTTTTTTTTTTAAACTTTTCATCTGCTTAGGCTCAAAATTTAACTCCTTTATGCTTTCCTGAGCCAACGTCCTTTTGTTTAGGACATTGTTTCCATCACTGCCATTTTGGGGGCACTGCATTGTACTTAATAGAGAAAAAATACTAAACCAAAGCCAGCCCAAATTAGCAAGGTTATCACCTGGGGTGCTCACTCCAAATTCTACAACTCCATGTCTGTTTTTGAAGGCTTTATTAGATGGTTCTTCCCTTTCCAGCTTTGCTGACTGCAACACAATTCCCTCTACTGTTTCCATTCTTGTTAAGAATTCTCCTTGGAAGATATCCCACTGTTCTGGTATCTCCCATGTCTTGAGGTCCCTCATTTTCACAGCTTCACTCCTTTGGGCCTCCATGCAGAGACTCCCCTGCCATATGCCTGGCCTCAGTGGCTTTCCTTAACAGCAGGGTAAAGTCCCTTTTGTGCATGCTTCTTGACTACAAAACCAGAACCATGTGGCTGAAGCTGCCAAGTTCTTCTGATTCCTGGGGCTGGAACAGGCTTTCTTCATTTAATTACACTGCATATGTTTTCTGCTGTTCTTTTGGTCTAGGTAACCCCTCAGATATCTTCCTTTCACAAGTTGCAAGATTAGGTGAGTGAGGTTTTGCCCTTTATTACATTTTTCATCAGATTTTTCTTTAAACTTCACATCTTTTGAGCACAAGACTTGGCTCCAAATTACATCTCCTAGTGCCCCTTTTTCTCCTCAAATTATATATTTTGTATTTCTCTTTGCACCACTTTATCCATTTCATCTACATAAGAGTGACCACTAATAACCAAGTAACACATTCAATCCTAGGCTGCCTTGATATCTCCTCTGTCAATGCCATTAATCCAAAAATCTTCAATTTAGCCTCAGACCAATTTTTAGGACAAGTACAAAAAAATGCTGACACATTCTTTACCAAATATACAAATACTACAAGAATGGTCTCTAGGACAGAGAATATTTTTCCCCTCTAAATCCTTTTGAGCTATGCTTAGCAAATCCTTAATGCCCTCAACATTACTGTCTTCCATGTTCCTATTAGAATGACCCAATAAGCTGCTATAATGCATTCAGCAGTTTTTCTGTTCCTAAGTCCCTGAGTTTTTCATGTTCCTACAATGAACAGGATGATAAGATCAGTCACAGCAATACCCCAGGCACCAATACCAACGAGTACTAACTTCTTAGTTTTTTTCTCAGTTACGGTTCTATTGGTGTGAAGAGACACCTTGACCAAGGCAACTCTATTAAAAGAAAAATTTTAATTGAGGGCTTAATTATACTTTTAGAAGATTACTCTATGATCATCATGGCAGAAACAGACAGAATGGTCCTGGGGAAGTAGCTGAGGGATTTACATCCTGATCTATAGGCGACAGATAAGAGAGACAGAGATAGAGACAGATAGATAGATAGATAGATAGATAGATAGATAGATAGATAGATAGATAGATAGATAGAGATAGATGATAGATAGATAGATAGATAGATAGATAGATAGATAGATAGATAGATAGATAGATAGATAGATAGATAAATGGAGGAGAGAGAAACAGAGAGACAGAGAAAGGGTCTGGCACAGGCTTTTGAAATCTAAAAGCCTACTCCCAGTAATATGCCTCTTCCAACAATACCACATTCCCAGTCACTCCCCTCGCCACATAATAATCAAACCACGAAACATACAGAATAAAGAAAAATATGAAGAACTACAAAGGAAAAAGGCCAAGTAAACATATAAAGGCAGACCCATCAGAATAACACCTGACTTCTCAATGGAGACTCTGAAAGCCAGAAGGACCTAGACAGACATTATGCAGACACTAAGAAACCATGGATGCCAACCCAGACTATTATATCCATCAAAACTCTCAATCGCCATAGATGGAGTGAACAAAATATCCCATGATAAAGCCAGATTTAAACAATATCTATCCACAAATCCAGCCCTATAGGAAGCACTAGAAGGAAAAATCCAATCTAAGGAAGTTAGATACACTCATGAAAACACAGGCAATAGATAACCCCACACCAGCAAATATCAAAGAAGAAAAACACACAACACTATCACTGAAAAATAACAGGAATTTACAATCACTGATCATTAATATCTCTTAATATCAATGGACTCAATTTGCCTATAAAAAGACACAGGCTAACAGAATGGATACGAAAACAGGATCCATCCTTCTGCTACATACAAGAAACACATCTTGACTGTCATACTATGCTTTCACAGATGAGGTTGACATAGTCAAACGCATAAAAATAAAGTCATAATTTTGATTTCCCATTCCTATTTTCTTCTTTCTAACCCAACTTTCTCTTATTCTCCTATTTCTCTTAACACCATGTTTTCTTACTTCTAAGCATACTGTAGTTTTCTTCCAGTGTTGTAGACACTCGAGCATGAACACTCACAAAGTGAGTTTCTGTTTCTTCTATATGCACATGTTGCTATGATCTGTGCTGGTATGAGCCTTCTTCACCTTGGTACATCACCTTACCTCCTGAGTTTTGCAGCAGGGAGATATTTCAGTTGAATAAATAGTGGGTGGTGGTGGTGGGCAACTGGGGAGAATAAAATTTTATCTACTTATCATCTGTTAAATTTCCAAGTTTCTTTTCTTTTAAAGGAAAATGCAAAGCATAGACTTTAACATACATAGACATTGCCTTTTGAGATTTGAGATTTGTTCTCTGTTTGAGATGGTGAAAGAAGTGTTAAATAAAAAATATAATAACTGCACATCACGTGCTTCAAAAAAGAGTCTAATGTTTTCAACATGCTATGGTTTTCTCATCAAAATAACTATTATTTTTCAATACTGGAGAAGAAGCTCAGTGATGGAGTCCTTACTTGGTTGGGATTTAAAACTTATCACTATACATTAAAAAAATTGATTATGTGGAAATATAAAATAATTCATTGTTGGAAAATATTATATACCTACTTCATATGTTCAATAATTATTCATCTCATAAATACTGGGAATTGTTATGTGTGAAAGAATACAAATACTATAAAAATGAACAACCTTAAAGGGTTTATGGTGTATAATATAGTAGAAGGTGAAATGGGAAGGTGACATGTTATCTATGCTTTTTATATATTCAAGTTACCTGTTATCTATCACAGAAGCAGAAAAATAAATCTGACAGTCTTCCCATGTAACTATTGTACTAACTTATTCATTTTACAAATAAATTAAATGTGGTCCACATATATTAAATTTATTATTTTATTAAATATATTAAAATTATTATTTCTTAGTTATTAATCTTCTTCAATATGCCTGGTGCAAAAATGAAGTAGAGAACAACGTAAGTTAGTTTCTGCTTCATGACTTACAGTAATTTCAAAATATGTTAAGTAAATTGTAAAAAAAAAGAAAGTGGAGAAAAGTAGAGGCACTCAGAAGAGGGAGATGGTCCCTAGACACCTTACCAGACCTGCATTGATAGAGTTTACCTTTAAGCTGACTGTTGATAGGTGAGTTAAGGGTTTTAACTAAGGAAAGGAGAAGATTGTGGCATGTAATGCTAAGAAAATATAAAATGCCGTGCCGTAATGGAAAAATGAACATGTCAGGTTAGGGAATGAGATGAGAGGACCATTCAGCTTTTCAGGAGAAGGGACCTGTGTTGAGATGGAGATCATCATGGCTTATGCTTTTCACTGAGGGACAAACAAAATTTTTAGGCTAAGAGAATAGCATACAAAGTACTACACTTTGGCAATTAAGAATATACAACAGATAGCAATTAATAATTCAAGTGTCGCCGGGTGGTTGTGGTTCACACCTTTAATCCCAGCACTTGGGAGGCAGAGCCAGGTGGATCTCTGTGAGTTTGAGGCCCACCTGGTCTACGGAGTAAGATCCAGTACAGACACTAAAACTACACAGAGAAACCCTGTCTCACAACAATAACAACAACAACAACAATAATAATAATAATAATAATAAATTTAAGTGTCAACCCACCAGATAGATAACTCTCTGGCAGAAAGCCCCACTAGGCAAAGACTGTAGGGTCACTGGCTGTGGAAACTGGTTGCTTCTGTCTGTAATTTTTCTCATGTACTGTCACAATTCTTCCCTAAAAAGAACAGATATGGAGTTCTTTCCTTGCCCATTGGTGGTGTATTCTGTACCTTTGAGGAACATATATCTGTGGATGGTAAGAAAGATGATTTCTTCTTAAGATGTATAATTTTGAAGATTAGAAATAATACTGAAATATTTTTTATAACTCAGACTGACATAGGAAAATGACAGTAATCTCACCTACAAAGACAGCCTTTTACACGTTTAACAAATCCAAAATAGACAAATTGCCCCTGGAGATGAATTATACAGGAGCAAGTTCCCAGGTGTCTGTTTGTTGAACCAAAGTGAGGCTGATAACATTAAGGCATAACTCCCTGCAGCAATTGACTTTCTGCATGTACTCCTAACCTCAGTTTATGATACAAGACTCAAGGTTAAGCCAACTAATTGTTTATTGTTTAAGTCCTGAATTCCAATGTCACTCTCTGTTGGGGAATGCTGACCACTTAGAGCTATGTGCTTGCTTACATTCTGGCTGGTCAGTGTGACATTCCAAGTCTGAGAGAAACTATGTGATTTCTTATGTGTATCAGAATGGCTCTGTCTCTTATTGTTTACTCAAGAAATGCTTTGTGCCCCTAAAAATGTAACTCATACTTGTCCAGAGTTTTTTGCTGTGGAGACAGAGATGTGTATGTAGGACAGAGATGTATGTGTAGAGGAGAATGAGTGAGTGAATGAGTGAGGAGTGAGTGAGTGATGTATTAAAGTGTGAAGGAATATAGCAGAATAGAGATAAGAAGTGTGTATAACATAAAGATGTGCAGGAGAGAGCTGTGTGGAAAGATGTGTAGATGTGCAGAGGAGAGCTGTGAAAAGGGAGAGGTGAAGAAGATATGTGCTATGTGGAGACAGAGAGATTTTCAGAGAGAGATTTTTCAAGATGAAGTAAAAGAGAAAATTAACATCAGAAAGTGTTTGTTTCCTTTTTTAGCAACCCTCAGAAAAAGTCTAGCCATTGCTGCATTCTTGGATTTTTTTATTTTATTTTATTTTTCATACATTGGATGCTGCCTGGAGGCTAGCACTCTGGGCAGCATTAACATTTCATAATGTCACTCTATTTTAACAATGTGGAAGGAGGGGTAGAAACACTAAAGTAAAAGATTGCTATCATAGTCAATGATGGCAGGAATTAACTATGAGTATATATAGAGAAGTCAAAGACCAAAGGAAATGGCTCTAAAGTTTCTTAGGAGGTTTAGTTCAGAAGTAGAAGAAAAGCACAGTATGTGAGATACCCAAAAGGGCATCATCTGATATCTAGGCAGTGGGAATACAGCAGGAACTGACAGGCTTGTAGTGTCTTTTGTTCAGAATACCTATGTCAAGACCTGTTCAGTTGACACTTCTTACTCATTTATTTTGAAATTTAAATAATACATGATTTATTTCATGCCTTTGCTAGAACATTTGTTTTCTATAGAGAGATGTTCACTGTAACTCTTATTACATTTGTAACAAGTATTGTAATTGTACAATGTTAACATTCTCCAAGGAAAGAAAAATATTTGCTTCTTGATCTCATTCTGTTTCTTAAAGATAAACTTTGATTGGGTAAGTCTTAGTTTCAGGAACAATGCTTGATACATAGAACTTAACCACAATAAATGTTTACATGAGCAATGAAGTTGCGGTGAGATCCTTATTATTTAGTGGCTTGTATGCAATATCAAGGTTTTGGATTAGTAAATTTCATCTTCAGTACATATCTAGTTGTTAAAGTATAAAGGAATTATTTTTGATGGTTCATGTGCAGTTTACTGGACATTCATTTCTATACTCCTGAATGTAATGTTTGAGCTATGTGTAACCTTGAAAGTTATGCTCCATATTTGAATGTTTGGTGATAAGACAAAGTATTAGATTTCATCTTTTTTTCTAAACTAAGCCATCTCTGTTATCCTCTTGACAAGAGTCCAATAAGGAAATGTTCTTTCCATTGCTTTTTACTCTAGATAAGTTTTTGTATTCTGATATTAGCCCATTAATTTATATACTCACATAGATAAATATCTTAATCATTTTATTAATAAAATTATGTGAATGTATTAAATTGAACCTAAGTTTACTTGGGATAAAATTACTCAACATATCCATGTCTGAGGAAGTTTTGATATCTTTCAGTCACATTAGATTTCATGCATGAACTTGACTTAAAATGTAGAGAAAAACTTCAGATAGGTTTTTTTTATCAGAAGTGAACAAAACTAAATAAAAAATAAATTTTTTATTTACTTTACTTAGACCAGATGTCTTTGAGAAAATCTATTTTATACTTTTGTTTAGGAATTTTTGTTAATATTATTCTAATTTAATCAATCACTTAGCTTTCAAATTGAGAAATTCACAATTATTATAAGCAAATCTGATAGACTGCTTGCTGAAGTCCAGCTTTAGAGGGATTCATGTCTCAAAAAGGAGGTGTGGAACTGGTGGGGGAGGAAAGGGACGAATGCACATCTGAGTGTTCAGCAGCTCTTTTTCTCAACAAGAATGACTCTTAATTTATATAGCATATTGACTACGTAAGTCATTTAGCACTCATCAGAGCCTCAGATCTCTTTTTCATTTCCCCATTAAATGCCCAGGGTTAAAAAGCAAAGCACAAAACAAACAATCTTATCCTAAACAACATCTTCAGACAGCATTTGTTAAATCAGGAAGCTACAAATTTCTCAGGGTCTGAAAAACATGGAACCTTCTATTTTTAATTATAGACCAGGTCTAGGTTGACTGCTCATGGGTTTACAATATGTTATATAGTCTGAAATTATTTTACCTTAACCAAGTTACATGTAGAATCATTTGATATTTTCTAAAATGCAAACTTTACAAATTATCTCATAATAACCATTTAACTGGCTGCTTATAGCATTTTCCTGTTCTTTAGCCCTGTTGTTTTCATGCGCTCCCAGAAAGGCAGACTCTGGTATCTCACTCTTTTTCCATCAACCCACACTATTCCTTTTCCCTCTATAGAGTCCCCAGTATAGGGAATGGACATTCTTGGGACATCTTGTATCCAGAGTTGATCAAGAAATCTCTCAGAATCCAGCCTATCGGTGCCACAATACTTGAGCACAAGGAAGACTCCCCGTTCTGTGACTCTTCTTTCAGGCTATGACACATGTCTTCAAAGTTTTCTCTCAGGGACATGAGTACATTTCCCCAGAGACTGCATAAGCAGGAAACTCCCCATTACGTCAACAACTGCTCCTAAACGTGAAGCAGGAGACAGCACGCTGACTGAATCTCTTGATGAAGTGTCGCTGGAACCTTGTCAAGCAGCGTCCTCCACCTCACGACCAGAGCCATGTCTTGTACCATGGCCTGTGCCAGACCGTTAAATGTCAATTAATGTTGATACTTATTACATGTTTTATTTTCAGGCTTAATTGGAAGTGGTAACAGACCATTGTAGTCATTCCATTACTGCCAATAGCAACCTCTGTGAATGAATCCACCACTGTGTATTACCAACAGTTAATAATGACTCATTATTTACTCCAGCTACAGTTTAATATGGAAAACCCCTCTCAAAATGATCACACTTTCAGAATCTCTACATTAGATATGAGTGGTTTTGAAATATGGAGATAGATACAATTGTTTATATAAACTACACACAAATATAAAAACAGGCAGTAATATATTAAACATTTTGCTATCATAATTTCTCAAATTACTTTCAGACTTATTTTAGTTTTGGAAGATACTTAAAACCCAGGTTGTGGTACAACACAGTTTCTGTGAAAACAGAAGCACCTGGCCACTGTTGAAATGAGGCCAATGTTGCTGACAAACCAAATGCTTGACTTAATTTTAAGTGTAAATTTAATTAGCTACTCATGGCAAGCAACATCTGTAGACTTAGAACAATATTTAAAATGTAAGGCAGACATTTCTTTGCCATTCATTGCATTTATCCTTTTTTAAAGATTGTAATTTTGTGCTAGAATATGATGATTATGTGCAATAATGAATTTCATCATGACATTTCTACATGTACATATATTGTATTTTTATTACATCCATCTCCCATTACCCTCTCCTATTCCCCTTACATTCAGCTAGTAGCCTTCCCCTTCCCACCTAGCCACTCTACTTTCACACCTTTCTCTCTCTCTCTCTTTCTTTCTTTCTTTTTCTTTCTTTCTTTCTTTTTCTTTCTTTCTTTCTTTTTCTTTCTTTCTTTTTCTTTCTTTCTTTTTCTTTCTTTCTTTCTTCCTTTCTTCTTCCTTTCTTTCTTTCTTTCTTTCTTTCTTTCTTTCTTTCTTTCTTTCTTTCTTTCTTTCTTGTTTATTTATTTATTTTGGAAAGGCCTGGAAGTACACAGGTTCTCCATTGAAAGATTATTCATAGGAACATGGACTTCTTCCCAGTGATTACACTGAGGAAAACAAGCTTCCTTCCTCAGCCACCATTAAACCCTAGCGATACTTAGGGCGGCATTGGGAGCCTTCCTTGTTAGCTGCCATCCCTCTGTGTGCTCTCAGGTTTGGGGACAGATAGGCTCCACCCTTCACAGGTCTTCTAGTAGTGATATCAACTGCTGTGGAATCAAGAGTAGAATAGGGATGCTGTGCTCAGAAGAGTGTTCTACCCCCACTCAACTGCTTCCTCCAGATCTTTGTTTGTTCTTACATTCTTTCTACAATGATCCATTTATGGCTCAGTATTCAGCAGTCATTTATCAACAATTGGAGCCATTATGAGCCTCTGCAGTGACCATTGCTCACTTCAGAGGGAAGTATCTGTGACCAAATCTGACCATATTGCAAGTTTATAAGGACAAACATTGTTATTTAGGTGGCATCTAATGTGTATGTCATCCTGTCTTTTTAAACTGAATAATAACAGTTGTTTCCTCACTAGGGCCAAAGACCCCTTGTGGCAAGCATTTTTGCATAGGTTTACAGTTCCTTTTGTGCATCATGCCTCAAATCTGGTCAGTAATCAACTGATTATGCTAATTAATGATTTGCCACTATTGCAATAGCAGGCACTTCTTGACTGGATTGTCAATAGTATAGGACACTGGGTTCCTAGCGGAGTAAGATGTTTGGTGGCAATTCTCCCACAGCATACACCCTGGCTCTATGAAAGGTACTCAGCAGGGAGGAGGCTTCCAGCCCAGTTCCATTTTGACTTCTTCACATCATGGGACCAAAGCATAAAGTATCTTCAACATTAAAAATTTAACATCTAGTGGGCAGTCACCAGCTGAAGCAAATGTCAATATACTAGGGGCCACTGAGGCCTCCCTTACCAACCACCTAAAGGAAAATAGTCCATCCCTGGTAACTGGAATTTTCATCTAATAACCTATGGTTTGAGAAAGAAATTTCATGGATCCACTTAAACTCTTTTAAATCTCTGATACACACTGTCATTCCGTTTATACCCCAAGTCATCTGTACCTTATAGTAATCTGAAATAGACTGAATTACTCTCCAAAAAGAAAGTTGTATAAAATTGTAAACTGTCATGATTTGAGGAAGTCTGATAAAGTCACCTGAGAGCACTGTCAAGCTCTGCTGCTCCTGAGAAGGAGTGTAGGTATTTGGTGGTTAATTTACTCTGCAGACTTTGGTTGTCCTCTAGAGTATTCTGAGACTAAATTTCAATATTTGTATTCACAATAAAAATATCTGCTCTTGATAGATTTTTTCTGATGAAATAATACTCCAAGTTGTTTACCCTTTAAGATTATCCCAAAGGATCACATACAAAAAAATCCATCTTTCAAAGAAAAGGAGCTGTGGCAATCCAGATAAATTGAAAAGGATTCAAATTCTGAGTACTGAGTCCTGTAGAATTCCCCTAAGTCATGATAGTTCGAACAGCCTAGACACTAGAACAGGCTTCGTAAATCACTCCTTTCGGCTGCTACTCATTTGTTCAAGAAATTTCCACTGCTGATTTGCCATTTTCTTAGGACAAAAATGTCTACAATGCTTTGTTTAGGAAAA